AATTGCGTGAAGAAAGTCCACATTTTTCTTTTTTTTTTTTTGAATTGAAACAAATTATTATAAAAGTATGTAACTTTTTATTTCTTCGATGTCAAGCGTTTTTTAAGTTTGTTTGGAAGAAAATTACTTGACTTTTCAGAACATTTATTTTTTTTCTTTTGATTTTTAATTAAAATTTTTAAATGGACACGGGCCATGTAGTTTTAAGTTGGGCTAGAATATATCAGCACTAGATTTTTCAAGAAGACAGATTTTGGGCAAAATTTCATGTTCTGTGATTTAGTATGAACTTAATCTCAGGTGGGAAATGGAGAAGCAGCAATTAGGGAAGAAGTGAGATGAAGTTTGCTACATTGCAGTAAAATAAACCATTCCCACTGTCTAGTCTTTTACTGGAAGACTGCATGTTTTTTACTTTTAAAGTAGGTCCTTTTTTTTTCACACACAAATACTCATTTTTCTCAACACATTTTCAGAGTTTTCAGGAGGACTTTTGCAAAAAACTTGAATGCTTTGGAGAGGGTGATCGTGAAAGGCTGCTTAAAATTACCCTGGACAATGAAGTATGGTTCTTTAATAATTATTACTTTCTTTTCCTTACTACAGTTTTGTTTTTAGCTTCCTATTAAACACAGGACCCTATCCGCTCGTCTCTTTATCAAGCTGGCAGGCCCTATTTCGTTTGGGGAATGTGAAGACGAAGCCTTACTTTGTGGCTCAATCCTTGAGTGTAGACCGGAGATGCTAAAGTGAGCTATATTAGTCTTTAGGGGTAATTGAATATTATTTAAAGTCTAGTTCCATGTTAGATCATTTCTACTCGTATTTTTACCTTTAGGATTGTGGATTTTGTTTTGTTGCGATGTGAAAAAGGAATACCAGTTGTTTTGCTTAATGAACTTGGTCGATGGATTTTTTTACAGTGAAATGCTCCAAATGCTCACAAAATTTAAAGATCAGCTAACTGTTCCTGTATTAGAAGCTGCAATGTCTCGGTTGCGAAGGTACGTGAAGAAGGAATCTGCCGTTGATATTTCGCGTAAAGTCGCCTTATGTGCTCTGAAAGTGATTTTTCGGGGTCTCACGATTCATCTTTCGGCTTCCAGCTTAGGTAATTTAAAGGCCGTATTGGAGTTACAGCGTTGTTATGGAATTACAGCTTACGAGGTTTGATCTTAAGAAAGATTCATATTAACGCTTTGTTCGTAAGTTTTTTGTTTTTTTAAGTGTAAGCTCCACTGCAAAAATGCTGTTTACTTTTTTTTAAATAAAGTATTTTTCTGATGATCAAGTCGTTTCAGCAGTTCCAATTCATATCCTCCTTGCCTGATGCATTAAAATTAAAGTTCAGTCTGTTGAGTGCTGTTATCCCGATGCTTAGTTTTCAGGAGGTTCGCTTTTCAACACAGTCAGTAATTTGGGATAAAATGTTGCTGTTTTTTCTTTTTGATAGCTTCATTTTCCATCCACAATCTGTCTTTATTTATTTCCTACCTTTTTAGTTCTTATAATATGGCTTTAATAATAGTTTATTTCAGTTCTGTTCAGCAGAAAATATTCTATGTGAGGTTTTACGGAGGTCTTCAAAGAAACAATTTATTGCATCTGTAACAAGCGATTGTGTTTTGTCATGGGCAACTTCTGGGTTAAGATATGGCATTCAGAAATTCTGCTTGTTTCTTGCGGATGTTTTGTCGTCAGATAATTCGTGAGCTTTCTAGTTTATTAAAACCTCGGCTAATTCTTACTTTTAACCTTACATTAGGGTTGAGTTTTTGTTAAGTCTCATGCTAGTTTGTTTAATGTAGAATGGACAATCAAAAAATGTTATTTCTTAGCGCTCAGTAAAATTTTTTACTGAACCAGATAAGTTTGAAGTACTTTACCTTTCTAGTGTTCTCTAAGGTTTCTCGATTTCCATGGAAAATGAAGCTAAATAAATGACTATAAAGCGTCATTAGCGCTTCTACACTGCTATTGTATTTCTTCGACAGGTGCCTAAAAGCTAAAATTCTTCACAGTTTAATTCTCGAGCACTAAGTGACTGAAGCCAAAATTAGTGTCTCCCTGCTCGAGCCTTGTGCAAGTCTCAGTTGTTGTACGCATTTAATTTTGTCATGAGAAAAGCTTATTACGTTTTGATTCATTGGGACTAAAACAGAGTTCTTTTATAACTTTCATTTTATGACAGCTTATGGCCACGGTCATAGGTTCATGGAGTGGATCCTTTTTGTCAGAATCGGCCAATCTTTTGTCCCAGCAGAAACGTCAGTTTTCATCTTAAATCAGGGTACGGCTTCAGAGTAGGCATCGTCAATTATAGGTTGAAGCGTATGCTGCATTTCACTGTTAGATGCTTTCATTCTTTTCTTGTAATGGGATTTTGTGGAAAACTTCTTTTTTGTTTTGTTCATCTTGGTCGTGTGTCATGATTTGCATCAAATTTCGATGGTTTTTCCCCTTTTGACATTCCTGGCCTGTTTACAACCAGCTCTGCCGATACTTCACTCAATAACCCACATATCGCCATTCAGTACTTCAGCTACAGGAAGCAACGTAACTGTTTTTCAGCATTAGAGGAAGCCCTCTTCAATTGACATTGCTGTTGCTTTTTTAATTGTCTTGAGTGCGAAAGGAAATTTTGGAACTTATGTATTCCAACTAAATATATGCAGTGACTCTTGAGAATTAAGAAGCTTTAAGATTAATTTTAAGTCGATTCAATTAAAGGCTGAGTGGAAACTAATTTGATTATTGCGTCCTGGTCAGTAAACTCATGCTTCACCGTGCTGCATTAAGGGCATTCATGAGAGCTGAAAAGCTCATTAGGAGCTTATTCTGAATTGAGCAGCTTAACTCTTCTGCTTTTTTGTTGTCTCGTCTTTGTGTATATTATAACTTTAGGATTTGTCGTGCAAGTGCAGGCAGTTACTGGTTGGCACGTTTGGAGGCGTTTTTGAACTTAAGACCTATATTCGAAGCAGTTGTAACCATATTGGAAAATAGATTAGTTGAGTGTTCAAAAAAGTTAGTTGTAAAAGAAGGGTTCCATCAACTGACTTGCATCGATTTTGAATGGGATTGGAGAGAGGAAGAAGAGTTTTGGACGTTGTCTGATCGTCTTTTGTACGCTTGGATCTCAGCCGAGGAAGTTTTGTTGAAATTTCGGACTGCTGATTTGAAAGTGAATGAAATTTTATATCTTGATATGTGCTTAGGAGCGTGTCAGCCAGTTATTCGTTTACGAGCGTTTCGTTTGGCAGGAAAGTTGACTAAAACACTTTCAATTGTAAGCATCATAAAATTGTTCACAATTATTTTTTCCCAGGAACATTTGACGAAGTATACTTTATAAATGTTATAAACATTCTAATAATAGTATTAGTAAGCATGAAATGATAATTATTGGCTTTTTATTTACTTTTTTCAGCGAGAGAAACAGTTACCGTTCATTAATCTTGAAAGTTTTACGATTGAAAATATGGGCACAGACAATCCTGCTTTGAGGAAAATGGTGGTGGAGTATGCTTGGAATAATATGTGTGGATTTAGTTCTGATTTTGTGTGGAATTTACTCCTGAGGATTCAACATGGATGGAATTCTCAAACGGTTCATTCATCATTAAAAATGCTTTTGAAGCTGAAGTCTTTCGAAAACATTTCGCGAGATAGTTACTTGGACCAAGTAGTGCGTTTGGTCACCTGTTCAGATTCTGAGTTAAGGTCTGTTGCTTATTGGTTTACAAAGAAAAAGTGGTCTTCCTGGGTTTTAAGATGACCACGAAGTTTCAATTTCTCAGCAATAAATAACTATCTTTATTTTGAATTTTATTAGGTTTTTTTAGATGTGCTGCTCTTCCTTTACTTCCTGCTGTTCTTGATGACTGGTCAATAACGTATTTCAAAAATGAGCTGGAGTTTGCTTTTTATAATATGGAAGGCGACTTTTCAAAGATAGATGATTTCGTTAAGCTACTGCTTCATTATGGTTGTGAAGATTGGCTCCTGTTGAAAGCGCACAGTAATTCTTTTTCGAAGCCAGGTTAAAGCTTATTTGTTTGACCTTCATACGCATTCGTGGACTTGGATTGATAGAATCCTCATGAAAACCTGGAAATTTGAAAAACTTTATCTCTTCTGCTCCGTGTTTTACTTACATTGCTTATCAAACGCGAGAGTTTTTTTGTCATCTTAAATTTCTCTCAGTTTACGACAGAAATTCGGTTCCATTCATTTAATTAAGTTTATAAAAGAATTTGAGACGTTAATGCTACTTACCGTAGTAGTGCCGCGCGGTGTGCACTAAAAACTTTCGAAATCAAGCTGCTTCAGGATTCACGAGATTTATATATGCATTGGTTGAAATGCGAGGTGAATTATTCACGGCCCAGGACTTTACCAATTTTTTGACTGCGTGTTGGGAGCTGGTTGATAGAACTTTACTTTCATGTGGAAGTAATTACGCTGGGGAATGCCCTTCACTTTCGGATTTGAGAACCATTTTGTCTACAAAGGAGACGCCAGGTGTTGTTGGGACAGACGCGACGACACGATCTGCTTTTGATGCATTTTATTGGAACTTACGGGTTAGTTTCATGTCCTAGGACAAATTTTTACCAGTTTGTGTGCTTCTTTCAATTAGTATTTCACAATCTTTTTTTTTCACAACTTTGCTGATTTATAGTTTTGGGAGCTGAAGAGAAAACGTGAAAAAGTGGATATTTCGTTTTGGTTGTATCACAAAGGTTTCTTTGTCCTGCAGGCTTCCCTTTTTAGTGTTCAGCTAATCCTAAATAGATTTTGGTGCTTTTGGTTATTTAAGCACTTCAGTTGTGCAAATTGAGCCAGTTGATACATGAGTACCAGAAGCTCAAAAACAGTCTAAAATATCATTTTAAATTTTTAGAGAAAAAGACGTTTTGCGTGTTTTTTCCTTTGCATAATATCAGTATCTACTGGTGTACTTGTCGCAGAATCGGCAGTTATAGACTAGAAAACAGTGCGAGGGTGATAGGAGTCTTTTGTTGTCTTGGTAATCAGCTGGTGGTGATTTCAGTGGTATAAAATGCATGCAGCTTTCGCTATTTTTCAAAAAATTCAGAATGATATTTTCAAACGAGTTTTTGAACTTCTGCCCTTTTTATACCTATCTACAATTTTTGCATAATTAAAACATTTGATACTTAACAACTGTTCAGAAGTAGAAAATAACAAGGAACCAAATACGGCCAAATTTTATTAAAAAACGGAGAAGGAAGGCAAGTCAAGCAAAAAAAGCACTTTTTAAAATTTTAAGTATCTAAATTTTGATTTTCTTAATGCTCCATCCCTTTTCAAATCAAGTTTAAACTCTGCAAATCAGCAGGCTCAAAGAGGTTCTTGAATACCGAATGGAAGAAGCGTGCAAATTGGCGTATAATAACCCTTTAACAAGTAACACCGGAAAACATTCTAAATGCTTTTGTTTTTTGTTTTTAGATTTTGTTTCCAAAATGCTTTTCTCAGCAGTGTGGGTTTGCTGAAAGTGCTATTTATTAATTTATTTATAGTGTGCAGCTGAACTTACCACTTTTCTCTGTAAGAAGTGTAAAGTATCATTTCCCGATGTGGCCCGTACTTACGAAACTTTGTGGAATATCCTTTTGAGAACCTACCATAAAGGTGTAGTGGATAATGTTGCTAATTGCTTTGAGGAGCTCACAACTTACTGTCTTAATCAAGAAACTTTGAATGAGCTCCCAAAGGATTTTTACGAAAAGGTAATTTTTTGCTTGCAGTGCTTCAGTATTTGGGATCTTTGTTCAATAACTTTAATTACAGACAAAAATAATTTTTTCCGACCCCCTTATGTCTTCAAGGAATCTTTCATTCAATTATATACTTCGATCGATTGCTATGCAAACAGAATTCTTAGTACCGCTCGTTGACTTTCTTCTCCGTTGTTCGGACACAACTGCACAAAAAGTTGCCGTGCGAGCGTGGAAAACAATGAAATTTCTTTTGACTTGTTCAGAAATTGGTACCATTCGTTTTTTTATTGTGTTTTGTTTATCGCTGAAGTTAATTAGCGCAATTTTTCTTAACCTTTAATCTTACTTTATTAATTTCTTGATCTCATTATCTAATTTATTTGCTAGACTTCTAGTTGCTTGAACTCTAATGTTTTTGAGGCAAAAAGTTTGTTTAACTTTAGGAAAACATTAGAGCAAGTCGAAAAGTCGGTGCAGACTTAATTCTACTTTCTCAAAAGGATTCTTTCTATTTTGTTTTAATGTCACCTTGTTTTCGTGGAAGGAATGTTGAGAGGTGTTTTAGATGCAGCTATCTAAAAAACGATGAGACTAATGGTGGTAAAACATGGAAATAAATTCAGGATTTCCCTGCACATTAGCTTAAACATATTAGTTCCTTTATTCATAAGCCCAATAAATGTCTATACTAGTTTTTTGGTTGTTTTTCTTTATTTGAAAGAAGCTTCCTATTAGCGTTAAATAGCGAGAAATACTGATTGGTGTCGTTACAGACCTTTCTCAGCAGTATCCACAAATTTTCAACGCCCTTATTGATGCTTACGGAACGTCTACATCATGGTCAGTGAGAAGCGCTGTTTTACATTGCTTTGGTATGTTTCTTGAAGTTATACAATAAAGCCTTTCTGATATTAAATAGTGTTTTATCAACCCTTTTGTAGCTGTTTTGGTAAATTCCATTTCCACCGCTCGAGAAGGCTTTAAAACTCCACTCTACATCTTAATCAACTTTCATAAGCAATTGTGGGATGATCTGCTTCGCCGTCTGTCCGCTTCTAATGCTTGCACAAAAGATACTCTGCTGCTGTTATCGTTACTTGAAACTTTTGATTTGGTTGATACTTCTTTTTATACAGCAGAAGATTTAAGGTATTTTTTTCACATAAAATGATACTATGGACATGCATTACTATTACACTACATAACTAGAAGATTCTTAAGCAAAATCCGATTACTCGTTTTTCGCTGCGTTTTGTTGTTGCCTTCGTGCAGAGGCGTGCGCGACATCAGACTAGTAGGCAAATGCCTTATTCAACTCACTCCTAATCATCGACAACTGGAAGCTATATTGGAACCGCTGCTTAGAAAAGTGATGCCTGCAAATCTCCGTTTTGCAGTCAATTACATTCGCACCGGTATAGCAAGGTTGTTTTCAATCAGAATTTAGATAATAATTTTACGCCCAATTGACTTCTCAGGTTTAATACGATAAGTTTCAGGAAGTCAGGGATGGTATTTTCACTTCTTGATCGAAGTTTAGAAAGTAATAGAATAAGTAATGCGTTGCGAGAAATCTATGATGCTGAAAAAATTGTGACAGCATTTGAGTCAGTGGTCAGTTCTCAAGAGCAAATTAGAAATGAATTTCAACATGTTTTCTGCGGTGCCGAAAATGCTGCACTTTCTTCCAAAGAAATTATGAGACTTCGTGCAGCTTTTATTTTTAGAATAATTGCGAAAACCATTAAAAAAGGATTTCCCGAATTAAAGACAAGGTACTGTTTTTTATGTAAATAATCAAATTAAAAAATAGAAATTACAGTATAGAAGCTGTAACGCGTACCTAAACAATATTTTTACCGTTAGCTTTGCAATTTACAATCACAATAATTTCTCATTTCCCTCAAGTACCTTAATTATTGTTACGTATATCATTACGAGTTGTTCGTATTTGCCTCCTTGAGATTCTTAATTGAGCGCTAAGGTTACAACATTTTCTGGTAAGACTGAACAAGTGGCGGTTGAGCAACTTTTAACATAGTCCCGCTTGAACCCTGAAATCTCAAATGCCGTTTCCTCCCAGACTCTGTTGCTTCTTTCTTTTCCGGTAAAACTTGGGATCTGGTGTAAAATTTTGCTGAACACAAGGAGCAGAAGAGTACTTATGTTGCCCTCTTAAGCACTTGAAAATTTAGGAAATGAGGTGGTTTAATATAGATATACATGTGATCTAGAACTTATTGAAAAACAAATGCCAGACTTGGATACGCAAGGCAGCTAAACCAACAAACCCAACAGCCTGAAGGCACTTTGTACAATCCGGCAAACTGCTCAAGACGACCAGCTTTTTTAGCCATTAAATTGAGGAAGTGAAGAATTTTAAAACCTTTAGCTCTTCCGGCTTCCCAGACCTCATCAAAAGCTGTTGTTGTTGAGAATTTGGTCTTTATGTGCTTTTGTGAACCGATATCGATTTAAGTCCTTGTTGGCGCCTTGCTTTGTCGAGTCTTGTATGATTTCAACATTATCTTGGGCAATTTGATGCGTGGTCAGCGTAAATTCAATCAACAAAGGATATGTGGAATATCCCAAGTCTGTTGGCAAAGCTTTCGCAATCAAGGCACTCCGCAATGGAAGTGTCGGATATTAAGTAAAACGACATGATCGCCTGACATGGAAGCATACCGGCAACGAACTATTCAGAATCTTAATTACAAGGGAGCTTTCATTTTGAGCTTCTCTAACTTTGAAACCCCATAATGACATTCTGTCGACCGCTTCCTTCACTAAGGAATGGTCAACATCAGTTATGAGGTTACTCTAAAAATTCATTCAGGCTACACTGAAAACGATCGCCACTTTGCTAAATAAAAGGTTATCTTTTGAGAAATCCTGTTCCATGTTTTTTAATGTCGGGATTTACATCTGTAATGCGAAAGTGGCAGTGAGGTTAAGAAAAGAAGTACTCAAGAAAGCTTGCAGATGAGGGAGCCACTTTTAATGGAAGCTAAATGGGACTTTGTCGCCGCACGGATCACGTACTTGTCGGTAGAGTTCAGGATACAAAAACCGTTTTGTAATATTCTGCTCCAAAATGCCGCCACTATTTCAAACTCTGCGACATTCCACGCTCACTTATGCAGAACTTGGTTTTTTTGTAGATTTTTTTGTTGCGTCTGTTCCTTGGTTATGGATGAAGTCATTCCTGTCAGAAATGCCGCTTGTCAAATTGTTCTTGGGCTGACTAGCAATCCAAAGATACTTTCGATGTCTCCACTACGCAGCATCAAGGTAGGTAAACGGTAGTATATTAAAAGTTCCCTTGTTTCCTTGACTACTCAAACCTTCCAATGATTTCACGGGAGTTGTATGCACTGTGTTCCTGTGTGTCTTTTTGAGGCTCTTACTGAAGCACTGGCAGGGAATGAAGATTCTGAACGTCGCAAATATGTACACGAGTGGGAGGCATGGTCACAGAAAAATTACACTCGACGGTTAAACTTCAACCGCTACTTCGAAGACAGCTTAATCCCTTTAATTATAAACAACTCTGATCTGAAGTTGTCATCAAATATGCTTGGACCGAAATGCTTCCAAAGTGTAGACACAACCAGTTCCACACAATGTGAAGACTCAAACAGTTCGTGGTGAGAAGCACGAGTTCGTCACAAATAACGGTTTCGTAAAACACTCAAAACATGAGAGACCTGTAACACTATCTACTCTCATTTTTGTTGCCAATAGCCTGTTACTACTAAAAACAATTGTGGATTTAACCTCCCTTTGTAAATTAATAGTTGAAGGACCAATCGTACTATTAATTAAAAAATATATATTTTGTACGCTTCGGGTAACAGTAAAATTACATAACATAGAATCAACATAGCAACATCTAAAGATAAACAGCGGTTTAGTGATTCACAAAATAATAAATTCTTAATTGCGCACGTCACCTGCGCCGTGATATGTATACGGGAAAGCAGAGGCCCTTTTAATCAGATTCGACATGTAAGGCGGTTTCTGCAAGCATAGAGTAACAATTTTCAAAACCAAAGATGCTTAGTTGGAGGGTCATGTTACAATTTCTAAATAAAGTACTGTTTTAGTGGCCAGAAAAAAAAACTGGTTAGCGAAATGGACTTTAGACCCCGTAAACAATTATACATTTCGAGGTTCACGTCAGGATGCCTCTCTATTCATGCAGTTACCAAAAACTGGTGGATTGGAGCTGAAAATCCAGCGGTACAGCTTAAATTTTAAGTTTGCAATTATTTGAATGATTTAAGAGCAAACGTGAGTTTTAGTTTGCAACGCATCTTATTCACGCAGTTCCTTCATGTACTTTTTGGTGGGTGTGCGATAGACATCGTCAAGAGCTCCTAACACCTAGAAACTGCAGCGTAGAAGAATTGCACAACATTCATCACTTATATTAAAGAAATATTCAACGTTGCCTGACCGATGGCACAGCAGTACCAGTAAAATCGTCATCCGACAATGAGATTTCTTGAAACGCCTTCTCAATCAATGCACTATGACCCTTGGATGATGGTGGGCAGACTATACCTGACGAGTCTCTCCAGATCGATTCAGTACTGCGATCCAAGTCGAGAGACTGTGAACCTGGAAGAAATCTAATGTGTAACTGGTAAATAGAAACTGAGAGCTACCTAGAACATTTGAAAAATAGAGGAATGTATCAAAAACGAAAGTCACTGCGCAAGACTAGAAACAACATATAACCAATTTTCATTTCCATAACTTTTCGAAAAACAAAGTTACATTGCGTTCGAGGCAACATAGGCTGACAGTTTCCGGACAAAATTGCTGCTGAAGTGATATTGGCTTTTTCACCGACACTCAAAATCTGACTCAGCTTTCTGCTTAATCGATTAACTTGATTCATAAACTATAATGAACAAATCAGTTCACAACATTAACTTTTCTTTTCACTCGTTCAGTCTGGAAAGCTTGATTTGACTGTGTTATGCAAATGTGTTAGAAAACTAGTTTCACTTCTCAAGAACCAGACCCATGAATTTTTTTTTCAAAGGAGAATTCAGAGGCAGAACAACAAGTAATGTTCATTATACGAACTCAAAAAATTCCTTTGAATAAGAAAGAAAACATACCAATGCTGCATCTTCTGCTTTTCGCAAGCCGAATCCATACATTTCTGATCTCCCATAAACGGAGCTCACAAAATGAACAAATTTTTTTGTTGGCCTAGTCAACGTTAAACACGGTGAAAGAACAAGATCCTTGATAATTAACTTAAAATAAAAAGCAAATATGTAGCGCGATAAAACTATTTAAAACAATTCAAGTCTAAAAAGCTTAAAATGAAATTTCCGACACACCTTCATGCCATCTAAAGCGATTAGTTTCGTAAGATTAGTCACAGAATCGTAATACACATGAATTAAAACAAAATCCTTTGTGAGTTCCCCCCACGTTCCAGCATCCAGCTGAAATATCTGCGCAGATATGCACAGCAGCTCAGTATACCTGTGAAATATCAACAGTGATTAGCAGTTCTTGCCACTCTACAAGAATACAGCTACAGCAGCTATAATGAAAGTTATTTACATGTTAATTATCGGCAAACTACAGTAAACTCACCGTTCACTAGAAATCGATGATTTTTGATATGTGTTCATCTCTTGTAGTTTTAGTAACTAAAAAACAAAATCAATTACAACTTTAGGAGCACAGAATTACGATGCGTTAAGCTAAGGACTTAAGCACATAAAAATTAACTTTAACAATAATGAAAGCAAAGCCCTCAACGTGTTTTTAACAACTAAGCTATTTACTGTACGGACTTGCACAGGAAGCGGTCGATATTTTCAAGGGGCATAACTTTACTCAGCCTTGACTTTCCTTTTCTGAAGAAATACATAAAAAGAATGCTAAAAATATGGCACATTATCAAGAGCTGATAGTTTTGGTCTTGAAGGATTACTCAAATGGCGTTATGAGGTTCTTCAGTCAGATCTTGCTCGTCAGCAGATTGGCAGAAGAAGGCCTGCTGAACAGCGAGTGAGAACAAGATTCTTGAACCCCACATTTCTTTTTATGACGTATTACAAAGAAACTTTTACTTTTCTTAAAGCTCAAAACATAAAACCTCTGAATCGTGGTTGAAAAACATTTAATCACATTCATACCAGACTGGGCCAGAGCTCATATTTACTAATGTCAGCAAAGCTAGAATTATATATTGCCACTGAAGGAAATACTGAAATTATTAGCCTTTTCTAGCAAACAAACCCTTATTTTTTTTGTTTTCTTATAATCCCTCTTTCAAATATGAAGTAATTATAATTTTGAGCAGAGACATGAGA